GAAACACTTTTCTGCACGCGGGTTCTCTATAACAACGGAACACTCCGTCGTGCAAAAGAGCTGCAATTCGGCGGGAACATAATTTAGCGGTGCCGAAGCACACACAATCAAAAAATCCACAACTTTGGGTTGTGACAGAGTGGAGGACTGGACTAGAAGGGAGCTTGTGAGGTCCCACCCTGCTGCTTGGAGAGGTTGCCCTCTGCTCTTCACAGGGTCAGCGCATGTCCCAGTGGGATTCAGACCTGCCAGTCTCCATGGCCAGAGGCACCCCAGGGTGGGAAGGGGCTAGGGCTGTGACTAGGTGTCTTTTAGTGCCACCCTATAGACTGAATAACCAAGTTCCCATCAGCAGTTGGAGCAATACCGGGTGGACTTCAAGTGAGGCCTGGATGGAAACGTGTGTGCATGTCCGGGGCTGAGATCAGCCCCAAATCCACCCCATGGCCCCGATAATTTCTTCTCTCTCCTTGCTCTGCAGCTCTGTGATGCGGCCTCCAGCCCCCGACAGCTTCCAGCTGACCGTAGTTGCACTGCTCTGTGGTGAGTGTTGCCTCTCCCACACCTCATCCCTCGGGCCCCCATGGACAGCCCAGAGCTTGGTAGCAGCTGCTAGCACCCCTGTCCCCCATCCAGCTCTGGGGGCTGAGCCCGGAGAGGCAAGGGGCCTTGGCCAGGTGCCGTCAAAGGGGAACTCTCTGGTTTTGGCTTCAACAGAGACGGGAAGGGCAGGAGAGGTTTATCGCATTGCTTATGACTGTTTAAATGTGACTGCTGTATTTCTCACATACAGTGTGCCCCAGGATAGAATTTGCCTTTCGCTTTTGCTCAGTACGGGCCAGAACCAGTTCTTACCATTGAATCAAATGATTATGTTTTTAAATATTGTGTGTGTGTTTAATTATTGAATTATGTGTTGAAATTATGTGTTGAAATTGAATTATTATGTGTTGAAATGTTATGTGCGCATTTCTCGCACATAATATTTCAACACATAACAGTTCAACTGCCACTAGCTTTTTATTTTGGGGAGGGGGGGAGTGCATGTCATAGGCAAGAAATTGTGGTTGTTCTCTTGTAGGGAGGGGGCTGAGAAGCAGGGTTGGGTTGGGCAGAGGAGGATCTCTTTGGGGTCAGGTGGGGTGGATTGCTTTTGGATGTGGGGATGTGGAGGGGGGATTTTGAGGGGGGGCTGTTTTCTTCTACTTAAATATTTTATTATTTTATACAGGTTCTGTAATTTAAATTAAAAAAAATACCCTGACCTTTTTTTGGGGAATCAAATCAGTCAGTCAATCTGTGGGCACTCAAGTTCTCTCTGTCTGGGTTTCCCCTGGCTGTTTCCAGGATCTGCACAGCTCGCCAGCCTTCTCTCTCCCCAGGCACCCTGTTCCTCCACCCCACCCAGAGCTGCTCCCTCAGGCCCTTAAGGGCACTTGTACATGATGCCTGCTATACACAGATGCCTGCTGTCTGGGAGAGCAGAGACTGGAGGTGCTGCAGGGATTTCTTTACAGACCCCATTTCCTTTGCAGGGCTCACCACAGCCCAGAGGAACGTCACCGCTTGGGTTGGAGACAACATTACCCTACCTTGCTGCTTCCCTTCCCAGCCCAATATAAGTATACAGCACCTGACACTCACCTGGCAGAAGAAGTGGGCGCAGGGAAGCGACCGGGTGGTTCACAGCTTCTATTACGGGAAGGACCAGCTGGATGTTCAGAACCCGGCATATCGAGGCCGGACGCGGCTGGACCCAGCGGCGCTGGCCCAGGGAGATGGAGCGCTGATGCTGCGGGGCATCCTCGAGGAGGACAGGGGCGTCTATCAGTGCCACGTCACCACGGAGCTGGGCAGGACGTCAGAGATAATTCAGTTAACTGTGTCTGTGGATTTAAGAGACGCAGAAAGACCCACATCAGGTGAGGACTTGGGGGCATGGATAGCACTGAATTTTAGGTATCAGCGTTGGAAGAGCAGGGAGGGGAAGGGCCAGGATGGAGGGGCACTAGCAGAGCTGTGAGGCAATACAGTGGGGTATTAGGAGTTAGGCAGCTGAAGGAATCAATTGACTTGAGGGATTGCTTCTCCAGGGGTGTAACGATCGTTTTCAATTTTGAATGGTCCTGATGCTCAAACTAATCTTTCTTAGGAAAATATTAATGTCTGAGAGCTGCTCTTGGTCTCTCTTCTCTTCTCTGAGCTCACAGCTTTTTAGCTCTTTTAAAAAATCACAGGTTCGACCCTGGAGACTAGCCCTCAGCAACAGCTAGGGTTTTAATTAAGCAGCAAAGGGATAGCCAGTTAGCTGGGATTAGGCTCTGTTTTCCAGCTGCCATAACAGCCACAGGAGAAGCCTTTCTGCCATGGCTGTTGTCTAGATTCTGCTGAATACCTCGTCAGCAACCATCTCGGAGGTACATTCTGGAAAAATCTAGTTTCTGATGAGGACACGAGAGGAAAAGATGACAATGAGGAAGAAGACAGAAGATGAAGATGAAGGTGAGGAAGACGACAACAAAGAAGAAGACAAAACTTGAAGACAAAGACAAAGCTGAAGAGGAAGACAACAAAAGATGAATATGAAGACAAAGCCGAGGAAGAAGACAAAAGATGAAGATGAAGGCAAAGCCAAAGAAGAAGTCGAAGAAGCCAGACATTGAAGATGAAGCCGAAGAAGACAAAAGATGAAGATGAAGAAGCTGAAGCTGAAGAAGAAGCCAAAGCCAAAGAAGCCAAAACAGAAGCCAAAACAGAAGCCAAAGAAGGTGGTGATGGTGGCTGTTAGACCCTGACTCCATGCGGCGCCCAACGACTAGGGAGACGACGGCCCAATTACCCGTGGATCCTGTTACTCATTAGCCAGGACAGAGCAGGAAGCAAACACCAGCACACATTGCTCGCAACAGCTTGTAATAAGAATGGAGACAGCTTCGGGCGAGCTCCCACACCGACAGAATACGGGGAGCAGCAACGAACAATAGCTTCTTCCCATATCCATACGCTTTGGTTTATACTTATTAACATTCAGTCTACTTCGTTCTACCTTCTGTTCCACCTATTTCTCCCATCTCAAGCTCTGCCTCCATTTCCTGTTGGCTTCATTAACATGGAATTGCCTATGCATTTCACCCATTTGCATGTCTTTTTGCTATGAGCGCATGTCTAAGACCTTGACTCCTTTTCTTCGGGCAATGGGCGAACTTTGACCAAAACCTGGAAGCTTCTGGAGGCTTCTTCACCAATCACCATTCACCTTTTTGTATGTTCATCTTGGATTCTGGTACCAATTACGTGTTGTTCTCCACATTCCAGTCTGTTTTTCTGTCTCAGGTTGTGCCAGCTTCTGCCTTTTGGGCCCCTCTATCTTATCTCGTTCCTCACTGTAGCTGGCTCACAGCACACAGACTCACACAGATTCGCTTGCTGCTTTTCCCTCAGAAATGGTTGACACAGTTAAAATGGTTACTTAGCATAAGCAAATGGCTGGCTGAGCATAAGCATTCATAAGCAAAATCTGGCTGCCTAAGCATCTTGCAATATATTTTTAATATATCATTCTGCCTTGTGGTTAGCAGCTCTGCTAGGTCACAGGTCATGCCTTGTATTCAGCGGCAAATCCAGATCCAAATCCAAATCCAAATATTGTCACCCTAACAGTGGCTCTGTCCCTGCTCTATGCAACCATAACATTAGAAAATGTCTCTTTTTCTTCATTTTGCATTTAAAAAATGTGATGATATTGGGGGTTGTTGTTTCATGTGAGACAATATGGTAATTTGGGGAAAGCGATTTAGCAGCAAAGCTTAATTGCCATTAAGCTGTTGCTTAGTAAGAAAACCCTCCACCAAAAGTCACTGCTGGTGTCATGAGAGCAGCTAGCAACCCCCATCAGGGAGAGACCCCCTTCCTTCCCTCTTTGTACCAGACCCTATACAGGGACAAACACATGCACACATTGAACCCTGCTGGGTAGGAGCTAGGGTTGGCATTGTCAGGGGTTTTAGCCTGGCAACCTGGGCTTGAGGATCTCCACAGAGATGGCAGGCTGGGTGTAAGGTGGGCACTGAGCTCTGTGAGGGATTCAGAGGGCACTCAGCTCCATGGAAAGCCCACCGGTATGGGCTGAGCCTGGGCAAAACACACCAAGGGCAGGGGCAAAACAACCACCACAGCCTTCCCCTTCTGAATTATCTACCACTGACACCCACTCTTGTCTTTACAGGCTCCATCAGTGCCCAGCAGAGACGGGGCAGGATCTTCCTAGTTGGCATCTTCCTCCTGCTCACCCTACAGACTTTTTTGTTGTAGGCAGGGCAATACACCTGTCCTGCCTACACCAGACAGAGGCTCAAATTCTTCAGTATAATTTGGCATAAGTTTTCATTGGCAGCAACCTACTGGGCTGGCTAACCGGCAGATACCTGCCGGACAAGTGGCAAGACCCCTGCCACAAGTGACTTGGGCAGCCTCTGTTCCTGGCATGCTGCCCAAGTAGGACGATAAGGAATGGAGCAGAAAGCAGAGCTACAGATTAGGCAGGGGAAGGGGATGGGGGTGGCATTTGGGGCGGGTGTGGGGCTAATTTGTGGCATGTCTGCCAAAAAGGTTGTTCCCCACTGTCCTACGTGGTCAGATGCTAGAAATGAATGGGCAGAGAGAAACGACTGCATGGGCAAGGGCAAGGGATGGGGGAAGGGGGCGCTGCTAAGAGAGGTGTTAACTGGCTTGATTAGATTGCCTCTCTTAGCAGTGAGCTAGATTGCCTCTGAACCAATTACTTTCAAAAACAAATAATTTGAAATCTAATAAACCAACTTAATTTAATGAGGATTAACCCCTCGTGTACAAGTGCCCAAAGGCTACAAGCAGTGTGTTTGTTCCAGGAGAAAGCCCTTTGTCCCAGGATTGTATGAACATTCAGGTCTGTTCTTCAGCTTCTGGTCCCACACGAGTATGCGGGATAAAATGTACTGTTGCTTGTTTCCCAGGACAGCGCAGTGTGCATCTGCATGGTTATCTTAGGTTGTTCCTGGAGTAATTTGGCTAGAGACCCAGTGTAACTTGGAAAATGTCAAATGTGATGTAAAATAGCACCTTCCTGGAGCTCGAGCAGGACCCAGGACTCCAGGCTCCCCCGATCCAACTGCTCAACTCTACTCTCCCCTATCCCACTGCTACCATTATAACCCATTTGACCCCATTCTCTTCCTGGGGCTAGAAGCAAGGGCGCATCCAGAAGAGTGCGGACACGCTGCCTCAGACCCATCGCCGATGCCACACACCACGCATGCTGCGTATGCAGGCATTCCCCGTGCTGCAGCAAAGGGGTTGTTTTTCACTTCGGGATCTCCCGGGGTCAAAAAAACCCGTGTCTGAAAAAAAAGCAGGACGGCACACATGATAGCAACACACGGCACCCAAAACTGGATCCTGGCCAGCCAGAGTCACACTCCAGCTACCGGCCAGGCTCCCTTCTGCAGGATTGCTCCAGCTGCCACTCCCAGAGGCCCCCAGATAGGCTGCTGGGGCCAACACAGTTAGCCACCTCTACCCCACCCAGGGCAACATGCCGTGTGCCAGAGCTTGCGTGGCACAGGCATCCTCCGGGGACAAGCAGCAGCGGCACAAGGTTTTGCTGTTTGCTGCAAGGAAACCCACGTTCCCACTGGTGGGAATGTGTCCCAGGAGTCGTCACCAGCCCCCTGCCATACTAAAAATAATCCTGGTGGAACAATTGGCCACACTAAAAATAAAACATGTCAGAGGTAGTCTAATTTACCATGATGAATCAAAATCTACCACAATAAAAGACATCAATGTGTATTTTCGCATGCGACTAACCTAGCAAAATGGCGATTTTTGGTGCCATTTTGTGACGTGTATCTAAACAACACATAACGTGTACAAATGCCCTCGTTCCTTCCCAGAGAATGAGAATGAGAACGAGGGAGTTCCTGACGTCCAGGCCCCTCCCTCTGACCGTTAGGTGACAGCCACACTACCCCTGCCCACGTGCTGATCTTCCTCTCTCGGCAGAACAGAACTAAGCAGCAATGTTTTCAAATGATAGTGACTCATTATATTACCCACGAGTGATGAAGGATGTTGCTCATTAGGCATTTTTAGCTGCTCCGGGGATGAAGCATGTTGCAGGCTGCACGGAGCCACAGTGAAGAATGAGGGGGCGGTTTCCTGAAAAAACCACAAAACACTCTTATTACAAGAGTCAACGGCACGTGCTGTAGCCTGCCACATGGGATCTGTACAACTGCACAGATAAATGCTCAATAGTTAGACTCCCGCTTTGAAAATTCATGAAAATGTATAAAAATGGCACCAGTCAAATGATGTTTTTGACAATGGTGTGACTTTTGCATGCCCTCGTCGCCCAGCGGGAGGCGAATTCTGCAGAAGGGAATGATCCTGGTTATGTGTCCTCAAGACAGCAAGAGCTGAAAGGCATCCAGTGTTTTGCGAGCATGAGCTGGCTTTGGGGAGGGTTGCTATGCCAGACAACTTTCAACCCTGCTCATTATGTGGAAGAAATTGCTTTGCAATTTAGTATGCATGGCGGGAATATAACTGAGGACTCAAGGGCACCAGCCTGTTCTAGCACGTGGGGCTGGGAGATCATAGCTGAGATACTTGGAGGCAATTGCCATCCCAGCCTTGAGTTTGTGATCCATGCATTGCGAAGGGTGGGTGCTTGTACACATTATGCAGTGCCAAAAATCGCCATTTCGCTAGGTTAGTCATATGTGAAAATACACATTGATGCCTTTTTATTGTGGTAGATTTCAATTTATCGTGGTAAATTAGACCACCTCTGCCATGATTTATTTTTAACATCTCCAATTGTTCCAGCAGGATTATTTTTATTGTGACATTTTCATAATGTGTATTCTCTCACACAGCTAAAATCACTGTTTTCCCAGTCTGACATGGACTTATCTCACTCAGGACCTACCCTGCATCTGAGCAATGGGTGCATCCAGCTCCCACAGAGCTATTGGGGAGAGTGGTTGTCACTGCCCTGTCTGTCATCCGGGGTCCACCGGGGAATTATATTGGGGAGCAAGGTGGGGCATAGGCAAGGGCTGTGTGCTTGAGGTGAGAGTCATGGGAGAGCAGTGAGGTGTGAGGTGGGGGTGTCTCCGGGTCTCAGGATACCATGGATGGAGGCATGATTTTGTGTGTGTGTGTGTGTGTGTGTGTGTGTGTGTGTGTGTGTGACCCAGATGCC